CCGGCGTGCCAGTCGAGCACGTTACCACTAGGACAACGCGCTCATTCAAAAATATAAATTCATTAGTGGTATATATTCAATACATTGAATAATTTTTTCCATTGAAATTCCACAAGATGTGGTTTCCCCCTTCCGTACGTACTACAGTCAGCTAAATTTCAGTTAAACAAATGAAAAACAAAGAGCATTCGTACAGCAGAAAATAAAATTCACCCCGTCGACTTGATGGACACCCCCGCATTGCAATAAAAACTTGGTTAATAAAAAAAAAACACCCCAGCATTGCGTGCGGCGCCCTCCCTCTCTTGGGGTGCAGTACTACGATGCCGCTGGGGTCACTCAAACCCCCAGAACTGAGCCTCTACTTCAGTCAATCCTCTTTGGGTTGGACCCTGGATTGTCAAAGCCACTGCTAAAGGGTAATTGCCCGGTTCAAATATATTTCTCGAATGTCATCGTGAGAACTGTCAAGCTGTAATTTTTTATTATATTTATTTCAAATTATTTTGCCTAGAACTGGAGGGAATCGTCTCAGGTGAAAATGCTGTTTTATACCCTCTTGGGGGGCTACGTCTTGAGCTCAGTGATTTTGTTCAAGTACCCAATGCTGATTCATAAGAAGAAAAAAATTAAATTTGAGTGTAAACATATCAGTCATCGAGGAGGTAATTTTTATTTATTTAACTGAAGGCCGGAGAAATTTTAATTGTTTTTTTTTCAGGGGCTGGGGAGAGCTATGAGAACACCATGAGCGCTTTCAAAAGGTCATTTCAACAGTTCTTATTTCGGATTTAAATTATTGCAATTGTCTCGTTAAAAAATTTCTTTAAATATCACAAAGAAAAAATTATAACATCAATTCGTAAAATCAGTGTAAAATAATTATCGAAAATTCTTTCGTTCCCAGGGGATTTATTTATTTAATCAATTAATTTCTTTGCATTGTTTATTCCTTAATACAGAGCTGTGGAAATTGGCACAGAGATGTTAGAATTGGATTGCCAACTCACCAAAGACGAGGAAGTCGTCGTTTCTCATGATCAGAATCTCCTGAGGAGCACAGGACTCAACAAAAATATCTGCGAAGTCAATTACAATGATTTGCCTCTCTTAAAACCTTGCCTCCCCATTGATTTCGATCCAGGTGAAGTCTTTACTCTGTCCAACTTCTCTCAAACTCAGAAATCCATTTCGATCGAGTTATTTTTTTCATCGAGAAATTAATGTGTTGATTTAATTGTTATAGAGGTTGAATATGTCGGGTCAGCGAATGAGTCAGACCGAAAATTTCCTCTTCTCAAAGAAGTATTCGATGCATTCCCGGATCTTCCGATAAATATTGACATAAAAATCAACGATGACAGACTAATTTCGAAGGTGTCAGACTTAATTAAACAGTACAATCGAGAAGAATACACGGTGTGGGGCAATTTCAACAACGAAATAACTCAAAAATGCTACAAAACAGTGAGTAAATCATAATCTAAAAAAATAGCCGAATGGGTACCTCATGAGTTTTTTATTTGTTGCAGAATCCAAATGTTAATTTATTCTTTTCAATGAAGCGAGTGACAACTCTCGTATTGCTGATGTATTCTGGACTTTTACCATTCGTTTCCCTCAAGGAGACTCACCTAGAGATATTTTTACCCTCGATTTACCTCAGGTACATTCAATCAAAAATTATTTTCAGTATTTTCTTCAAGTTCTGAAGAAAATTCTCTTGAACGACGAGTTCACAAATTTTCATTGAGGAATTGATATTTTAACAGATAATTACTATAAAATAATTGTTTTTTTTTGTGGATTATTCCCTAGAAGAAAAGGGGGCCTGTCAGCAACATTTCTACCTCTTCACAAAGTCGTATGTCACATGACGAATTTATTATTAATCAGACCGTGTTTGTTTAATCATTTACAAGCACGTGGCATTCACGTAAGTTCATTCTTCCCTGTAAATTATTTATTCTCCAATAGTTGATTATAAAAATATGAATTTACAGGTTTATTTCTGGGTCCTGAACAGAGAGGAGGAATACGAACGTGCCTTTCGACTAGGTGCAACAGGCGTGATGACAGATTATCCCACCAAGTTGAAAACATTTTTAAATAACAATTACGAGTTGAACTATGAAAAAAATTGATCGAAAATTTTTAAATAGTTCTTTAACGTTTTGAATATTCAGTCAATACCAAACATTCGATTATTAGCACAATTCCAGTCTCTAAGGTCACTGCTTTGTACATAAATTATTTATTTATTCTTTTAATTGTGTGTATAGTTGTTTTTAAGGCTTCTGAAGGTCTCGTATTAAAAAAAACTTGACTGCTCTTGAAAAATTCTCACGCTTTTCCACCGCACAAAACCAAAAAATGTAAAAAAAAAAATATATTCTAATGCTCGGAGCCGATTGAACTTTTCAATTTTTTGGAATGATATTATATTTATTTATTCAATATAAAATTACAAAAATACGGTGTAATACTCTTAACTTTGTTCGATAACTCACACCCTTTCTCAAATAAATTTCATTGTATCAGTGATCCAATGGAATTGGATACCCTAGAATATTCAATAAATAGATAAAAAACAAAATACATTTTTCATGTTCTCGTATTAAAAAAACTGGGGCAAGGTCGGTCTCTCCGATTTTTTCTGAGCTGATGATCATGACTCAACAAAAATATATAAAATATGATTCCTAGGTTGAGATTCTTTAACCCCTCCATAACTGGAATGTAACAAATAATTCATCTAAATTAATTATTGCTTAAGGCACATGTGGTATGCATGTTCCTTTAAAGTGGGGACTCCATCGTGTGTGTGATTGATCTCGATATAATTGAAGACTTTGCCAGCGCAATCAGGGCACAGAGAATTATGTTTGTGCATGGGACTGAAATGTTTCTCTATTTCAGTGGAGCCCCCGATTATGTCCACTTTACAGGTCTCGCAGAATAATTTTGGCCGTTTCATTCGTGAATTGACGGAGTCGGTGACGATTTTCCCACGATATGGAGGGAATCTTCTCTCAGGAGAAGGGCTTTCTCTCTTTCCTGACATTCTTGGACTCTGAAAAACAAAATAAACCGGAAAAACTCTTTATATGATCACCAAATTGCGTGAGGATATCAATAATTTATCTCCTGTTCAATTTTTCGATGAAATAATCAATATTAAAAATAATAATGGCAATGTATAAGAAATTTCTAGAACCTACGACACTCCACTGTTTGTAGAATTTCCGTAATGAAAACAAAACGAAAAATTCGACAGTAAAATAAAGAATAAATAATAATTCTCATTTTCTATTCTTAATGATAAATCCAGAATTTGAAATTTGCTCCAAAAATACATTTTCTCGCTCCAAAAATTCATTTTTTCGCTCCAAAAACATAACCTCAGTCCCTCCCTCGATTGTAATGTTATTATTGCTCTGCAAAAATACATGAACCCCTTCGATTTCAATTTCATAGATCCACCAACAATCCCTTGAAACAAAAAACCATTAATTTTATATTTCCAAACCTTGGAAGTCAAATAAAAAGTTAAAACTGTCACTTACACTCTCCCTTGCCGCCATTCTCTAAGAACAACTATAACCCAACTACTTCTTAGTACTAATTATTAGGACATTCTGGAGTACATTGACACCAGTAAAAAAATTGTTGAACTCTTAATTTTCAATCTTTTGTGTTAATACAAAGATAAGAAGATAAATTGTGGATTCAGTAATTCGTCGATTAATGTGTCAAGTGGAATCTTTTAAAAATAAAGACAAGATCATTTTGAAAGGCAAATATTTTTTTGATCTTCAAGTAGATAATACAAAATTTAAAACAACAACAGTATCACACTCGATTTTCTCCCATGATCCAGAAAGAAATCAAAGACTCCAAAAAATTCCGGTGCAAAAGCATTTATTACGTTGAACATAAAATAAAAGATACAAGAAAAATGATTGAAATAATTAATCCACAATTGAATGAACGACTGGAGAGTAAGGATGGAGAAATCTATGGATCTGTTACATCAAGTCAGTGGATTTTATATGGGTTTGATCTTGAAATGCAGTCCGATAAGTGAAAATACAAGACACTTGAGATCCTGAACGAGATAATAGAAGCATCTGAGCCCCTCAGGATCCCTGGACTGATTGACATCGAGAAGTGATCCAGTCTTGGAAGTGGTGAAGGATATGTGCTCATCACCGATGACTATTTCCAATTCTTGTCTTCCAACTCTGTCAGGTTGTGGCCAAAGGGCATCATCTTCCTGCATTATTTCCGAATCCTGGATTATCCTCTTCAATTCCTCCATGACGCACTGGTGGACATAAGCCTCCTTCCTGATCATTGTGTCATTTTTGTAATTCGAGTTGTTGGCGTACCGAAGTTTTCCATCAGGGCGAAACTCAAATTCGAGGAATTCATGACCAAATTTACCCTTGTGCCCCACGTAGTACCTGATGTAGAAGTCTGTTGACATTGCAAGAGGGTGGGTAACACTATCTGACTGAAGAAAACTTTTTTTATGATTTTTTTTCAGGAGCTTCTGGTGGTACGAGGTTAAGTCTTGTTGATCAGACAATCTGACGCTTTCCGATTATTTCTTGAACTTTTTTTTGGACAATTTTTCCTGAGTTCACGCCATCTGTCCAATTCTTCAGGGACTTCTCCAGATCAGGACGACTTCCGGTGATTCAAACGCATCAATTAATCAACGATTTTAATAATCACATTCCTCCCCTCGGGTTACATCCAGAAATTCTCCATTACCTCTCAATTATTATAATTACATTCCTTTACAAAATCATGGTAATAATGACGTTCAATTCAATCTATCAATAATAATTAAAATCGAAGAATTCATATTGAAATTTTTTAATAAAAAATCATGCAACAGAAACGAGAAACAATCGGATTAAAAAAATCATTCTTTCCAATTAAAATTGTGAATCGAATATTTCCGCTTGATTACATTTTCCCGGGTATTCCTAAAATTCGTTGAAAATCTGATGATTTTAGGAACGTCAAGCTCCAGCTCCATCTCTCATTGTGACGTCACAGAATGCGTCCCCCCACCACAAAAAAAAATCATGGACTAGCGCTGAATGACTATACGACAGAAATACTACGGGAAAAAGAGAGTAAAACTCCATCCACACATGTAAACATCCACGCCTCGCATTACCAATCAATCAACAGGATTAATCATCCACTCCACCGATCATTGCCGATTTTAATTTTCATCAACCCTGAGGGATCAGGTGATTCCTGTAAGAATGGTACTGAGACTCAGAATTGGCCGGAGGTTTGTGTGAGTTTTCGGTGATTTTCCCCGTGATTTTTTTTACACTTGGCGTCATCACCTCTTTTTGGAGTAAGTGCAAGGTTTTTTTTTATTTTTATTTCTTTCTGAATCCCAGTGGGTTTTTATCAATGGATTTTTTTTTTTTTGGCATGTGAGTCAGACGTTGAGATCGGATTTTGTCGATTTTTTATCAGTCATTGATTCGTCTTTTTCTCGAGATTTTTGAAGGGGCAATTATTGATCCATATTGTGTGCAAAATAATTTAGAATGAAATTTTATTTTTAGGAGAGAAATCTGGAGGGAATTATTTGATGATTTCTCAGGATTATTCATTGTTTCGGATTTTTTTTTCATCATTTTGTTGTGAATCAAATGATTTTCTGGTCCGAGGGATTTATTTTTTCTTTAATGGTGGAAATTCGTTGATAAAATCATAAACATTCTAGGATTTCAGTAATTTTTCCGTTAAATATCCGGCGGCTTTATTATTTTCTGGAAAATAGTCTCTAATTGCCCAGAAGAATAATTACATTTGAGAATAATTCATTGTGATAGGATAAATTAATTATTCCACTGTTAACATCTGACAGCAAAACATCTGTTTATTTAATAAAATATAAAATCATTTAAAGAGTGTAACCAGTCATTTATGAACCCCTCGTAATTAAACAGCTGTTCTAATTGCAATGGATTTTTTCTTTTTGTTCAATTAATTCTAATTTTTGCCTTAACGAGAGAAATATATCCAAAAATTAATTATCATTTTTTTTTGGAGTATTTTATTTTGTCCAGAAACATTCGTCTCTTAACGGAGGACTTACAATTGTTAATTGGTGCTCGTTAGTTTCTGTTCGTTAATTCAGTTAATTTGTCTCTGTCTTTAGTTTATCTACTGTAAATAAGTGCACGATGGCACAGGCAACGACCATTGAGACTGTAACAATCACCAGACCGCTGAAGGTAATTATAATTCTCCAGACACAACGAAAAGGGAATTGACAGGAAATCGGAAATACCAGGGACTCCATTAAATTCTTTTTCATTTCCTCCGGATATTTCCTATTCGGGAATAAAATCTCGGAATCCAAAAAGCCCTTCCACAATTAATTATATTTATATTCTAATTATATTTATGTAATTACCCCAATTATTAAATCCGGAGTATTACTCAGAAAGTTTTGTACACAAAATCATTTTTCTGTCCGAAAAATAATTCTCGTAGGGAATTATTCCGAACAAATGGCGACATAATATGCCGTACCTGTTGTAAATTCTCGGTATTTATTGCCAATTATGAATATTGAATGTTAAATAAGGAAAAATAAATTGAATGGAGTCGGAGCGTGATGTAGAAAAAATAGAAAGTCAATGAAAATTTCATGTGAAAAGCGCGAAGAGTTTTCCAAAATGCCTAGTGCATCCTGAGGAATAAATAAAACCACCATCATCCCCTCGAGCAAACCCCCAGCTGTTGACGACATGCGCAGACTCCCCATAAATCGAGAGGCGCAATCGCCCTAAATTCCCTCACCCTCGAGAGTTGAGTCTCCAAGCAGTCGAAACCGAGTCCCCAGAAATTTCCGAAAAGAAATCCCAGAAAAAGTGATTGAAAAAAAAAAAAGTCTCTCATACCACAAACCCCCGAGTAAATTTGAATAAATAAAAAAATAAACAACCCCTAGGATTCCGGTGAGTGGTGCGAAGTAGGGATTGGGGTCGGTGAGAAGAAAAATAAAAAATAAAAAAAAAATAAACAGAGGAATTGATTCGTCGAGGGGCAGTTGTTTGGGCGTCTGAGGGGGTGGTGAAAGGGCTAAATCCACCTCACCCTCGGTTCCTCTGATCTATGGCGGGGTGTACAGGGGTCTACGACGTCCCATAAAATATTCACTGACACATTTTAATTGACGAAGTGAAATTCAAGAGAGAAGTGATAATACTCGGATAATTCAGTTGAGGGGGTGATTCGCCTGTTTCTCCGGGTCATTATCAAGATTTTAGGGGTGTTTAGGGGTGGTTTAATATGATTACCATGTATACCGTTGCTGAGGATCACATGGGGGAGAGCGAGATTGCACAGGTGAATTTATTATGCCCTTGACATTATTATTCTTCCCCCTGCAATAATTATTCAATTGAATAAGGAGTTCGCGGATGTGGAAATTTTTTTATTAGAATTATTATTATAATTATTTATCTATTATGACATTTAATTGCTAATTGATGGTATCAAAAAAATTATTAAACTTTTAAGTCCATTCCATTATGGACATTATTATTGACAATTTTTTAAATAGATAATTAATAAATTACTGATATAGAAACCGATGGAATAAATGAGATGAAAAAATGAAAGGTCAAGATTTAAAATTTATAATTATGCCAACAGGTCATAGCGTTCATATGTGGAGTAATAGTGATAATCCTAATGATAATGGGACTCGCCTCGAACGACTGGTTAATGGCTATTGGCTGGAGACAGGGTCTGTTTCGCCATTGCATAGACGAGGGTGCACCAACCCCACTGCCGTTTAATGTCGCTGTATCTGGTGCTGGTTGTTATCCGGCTAGAGATGTTGGATACATCAAAGCAGCTGCTGCACTCTGCATTGTTTGTCTGATTGCTGATGCTGTGGCAACTGTTCTCACTGCACTCGGATTGAGAGCCAAGGACCACAGGAACAAACACACCTACTACAGATTTGCTGTTCTCTGCATGGGATTTGCACGTAATTAATTATTGATGATTATTGATTCTTTATTGGAGATCGCTGGCAATCTGTTTGATGATTATTATTGCTTGTTGCAGTCCTGGCGCTCCTCTTAGCTCTTATTATATATCCAGTGTTCTTCGCAGCGGAGCTTAATTTAGGTGAGTGTCAAGCATTTTTTAATGTGGATTTTTACATTTGGTTATGGATGTGGAGAGATAAAAGGATTTTTTTTTATGATAAAATTGCCATTTCGTTTTCGTAATAATCTTTATATCCGATGGAGAGAAATATTCCAGGAAAATTACTCAATATTTTTATAGGAATTGAAAAGAAAAATGTGGAACGATCAGTTAATGCTCGGGTCTGATACGTAATTTTTCTGGAATTTGATTTTAAAAAATGAATGAGAAATCAGAATGAAATGAAAAATTTTGGTTTAATTTTTTCGCTGGGATTTTCAACAGGAAATCGACCGATATGGGAGTTTGGTTGGGCTTATGGTGTCGGCTGGGGTGCCGCGATATTTCTATTTGGTGGTGTTGTCCTCCTCTTCTGCGACAAAGAGAGCGAGGAAATTTACTACAAAGAGCGTAAAATAGTTCGTGAAGAAGTAACCGGTGGTAACAATACGATGACAGGCCATAGGATTGGAGCCCATGGCACATTGAGAAGTGGTATGACCCACGCCTAGTGGCATTGTACCCTGCCCGATGTTGTTCTCTAGGTGAAATTCATATATTTTTCATTATTTATCTCTGATTTTTGAATTTTAATTTGAATTTCATTGAGCACGGAACCCCCGAAAAATTGAAATTTATGATGAATATTCAGAGAACTTTACGATGAGAACTGCCATTGCTGCGCCACAGGTTAATAAATCATTTTTTGTGTATTTATTTAACGTTAGAGTAATTTGATGTAATTTTTTTATTCGTCCTTTGAGTGAATTCGAGAGAAGTGGATAATTCAACTGTCGATTTTGGGAGATATTTCGGAGGCGATGGGAGCTAAGTCAAAAAACGTTGGGACTTTTTTTGTGGGGAAAATCGAGAGCTAAAAAAAGACTCAGTGAACGTTTTTGTACTTCTCCTGGATTCAGAGATGTCGGATATATTCAAGATCAAAGTTGACATTTCTTGTTTTATCACTTCGAGAACGAGTTATTAAGGTCAGATGGTGATTTAAGGATTATTGATTAATTCTGGAGCTCTCGGGGATTCGTGAGGATATTCGTGGATGATTAGAGACACTCGGAATGATCGAGAAGAGTAATTGAAGGGATGGAAGTAGTTTTAGGAGGTGAAGGATGTAATTCTACGATCTATTGATTAAATCAACGGAAATTTAATTAAGTGGTCGAAATTCGCAAAAAAGTTTGGTACAAAAGTTCTTCCTCTTGTTGAGACAAACATTTTTGGAAGAGACTATTTTTTTACTATCCTCGATGGTAAATCAGAAAATCAGGAAAAACTTGAAAAATAATGTTTGCTACTCCAGAATTGATCAATTAATCATTAAGAATCGATCGTTTTTCTGTTAATTATTAAACATCGATATTATTTTATCACTCGTGACGATTGTGGGACCATGCACATCACTTTGACCCCCAACTTTTCCCCCTCCAATCCCCTATTTATTTTTTTCAATTTTTTTCGTACAAAAAAAGATTGAAAATTAAATTTTTTTTGCGAATTTTTATTGCTCCTCAGCAATAAATAATTAAGAAAAATTCTGGACATTTTCGAAAGTTCTTCCAAACTGTACACAATGTAAAAACACCAGAAAAATAACGTAAATTTAATTAATTCAATTAATCACAAGATGATTTTTTACACTTAATACTTTTATTTACTAATTTAAACATCGTAACTCATTAATTAGTTCTTACGCATGATTATTAACATTATTTTGGCAGGACGAAAAGTATTTTTTTACAAAATTACCATCGGAAAATTCCCCAAAAAAAAGATTAACAGATTAATGAATTCCTCAATTTTTTTTTCAATTTTCAATTTGAAGAATTGAAAAATTAATTAACAGTTGAAATATTTATAAATATTTTAAACTATTTGGGCAGCTAGATTATTTGATTCGAATCGAGTCCCAGGAGTCAACGACACATTTCTCCCCTTTCTTGATTGTTTTAATAATTTATTTCTCAATTAATTTGTTGATAAATTATTTTCTCGTTTTATTTTCGTAATGAAAATGTGAACAAAAGGAGCAGCTCGGGCAGGTATAATTAATAATTGAGACAACCGATCCATTGCGCCATATGCATTTGAAATGTACGCATGTGTACATAATCTAGAAATTTTATATTACTTAATGAATTAATTAACAAACAAATGGAGAATAAACAAGTGTAAATGAGGGATAGATTGGGGAGGGTAGGGGTGGAAGTGGATTTGTTTTTTCTTCTCTCACATTTATCAGGATAATTAACGGCTCGTAATTAATCGTTGAAATGGATGAGAAAAATATTTTAATCTACACACCGCTTCACTCCGTAATTAATCAATCTCATTTCCTAGAATTTGATATTAAAAATGATTAATGGAGTTGAATAAACGTGAAAATACCATTCAGTGACACAAACTCACCGGAGAAGATTCTCTGGGAAAATAGTAAAATTACTTGACGACTGCTTTTACATTAATTAATAATGTTGTTCAATTAATTAAGGATAAATTATGAAATTAACGATTTAACAACGGAATAATTGGGAGAAAAATCGGAACAAAAATTTGGGGACATCGCAGGGTTGGAGATGAGAGTGTGTAAATTTTTTTGATTTTTTAAAATCAATCTTTGGGGCCCAAGAAAATCACCGTAAATTCAGCAGCGGAAATTGATAGAAAAGATTTTTTAAAGATTATGTAAATTGTAATTGGAACATTAAAACTGATGTAGAACCCGAAAAAAAAAATTGAAAAAAATATGTACACAAGACTGTGACAAGTCGGTACTTGAAATTTCGATAATGAATGACGCATGGATGATTTATACAAGTAGATGACCTAATTCAATTAAGATAATCGAGAAAATATGAGAATTCCTTAAATTCCTGAGGGAAATATGTGGAAAATTCATTTGATAATTAATCATATCGGATTAATAGATATAAACATATCTTATCGATAAGGATCGACGTATGAATAACATTAATATGCATTAAAATAAATGAGAAAAAGGCAGGTTACCAGAGAGAGAATCCAGAGACGAAAAGCATTCGATTAAACAGCAAACGTAAAGCTGGAAGAATCCCTGGACATTTTTCTAATGCTCCAGGAGCCACTCCGAGGAAGAAATCATTTTTCCCAAAGATTTGAAAACTTAATTCGTCAAATTATTAATAGAATTATTAATATAAACCGGAGTCATCCGGAAACTAATAAATTACACAAGTAATCTTTGAAAAAAATCCGTATTTCTCTCAATTAAATCGATCCTTGGGAAAAATCGACTTTTTTTTCAATACATGGGACCTAGAAACCTGAACGTTCATAAAAACCTGAAAAATAACATTTTGAAAACGTTTTTTTTTACTAGTAGAGGATAAAATCGTAAATATTTCCCGATTACGAGTAAACTCTAATCTCTAGGTCTTATGGCGTTTGGAATATCTAAAAAAAAATGTGAGGGGCTTATCTTCCGGTTGAAATAAAGTTTTATTGATTTTGTTTTTTGAATTATTGAGGGTTACAAGGCGTAATAAATAGTGAAAAATCTTAACTGACTAATTAAGAGCCCTATTGGCTCTCGCATTAGAAAAAGTTGTCCACTCATAATTTTGTTGTAAGCATATCGCAGTATTGTACAAAAAAATATATATATATTATAAATAAATAATTATGGAGTATTTAACAAGTTTTCTGGTGGTGTACTCATTTATTTTAGCAGATTTATTATTCTTCCGTGCCTTGTAGTTGATGAAGATTTATTAAAAATGGAATTCAACGCTTTGTGGACTGTTTGATACGCGTTGATGATATGAGTGACGTGACATCAACACGTACCGTTGAATCCGCATTCTTTAAAAATAATTGTTCGATTGGGAAAAAAATGTTACAGTATTATTTATCAAATATTTTGATAAAGATTTATATTTTTTTGATTGAATAAGTGCAAGTAAATATTGAGCAATTAAATAAATAGGAGTAAATTAATTCCATGGAGAGAAAAGAGGAAAGTCAATTCTCATTTTCAATATTTTGTTGATCTTCTGATACATTTGATTTGAAAAATATAACTTGACTTTTGAGATTTGGAGATAGATAATGAGAAATGAAATAAATAAATGAACACTCCGATTATTAATCTTTTTTTGTTATTATTTTGGTAATTTTTCAATGCTCTGTGAAAAATGGCATTAATTGGTGCTCACAAAATACTCAGATACTCACATGACTGGGAAAAACATTCCGAAGAGGATTTTGAGTGGATTAAAATAGAGAGGTAATTAAATAGTCGAAAAATAACACTTGGATTATCACCACAGTTTTTACGAATATTTCTGGCTTTCTGCACCTCAGAAAAGAATTCAAGAAAATTATTAGATGAATAAACGAAAATGTTCTTGTCTTCTTAAAAAAAAGAAAAGATTTACCATCCAAGAGAATTATTGGAATTAATCAATCATTAATTAACCAAATTAATCGCCCATCATTTATTCTTCGACGCAAACATTTTTGTTATGGAATTATTTTTTTAAAGGCAAAATAAAAAATTTGAAGACTTCCGGTGGGTGTATGAGGGTCAAGTGTCTGATAAAAAGGCTCAGGGTTTTGGAGTTCTCTCGAGGGTCTACAAAAATGGGGAAATGGTGAAAGTTTATGCTGGACAGTGGGTGGTGGGTAAAAAAGAGGGTTTTGGAGCTTTTTGGTACACCAATGGGAACTTCTACGAGGGAGACTTCTGCAGGGGTAGAAGACACGGTTTTGGCAGGCTCTGGTCATCCGATGGGAATTTTTATCAAGGCCACTGGAGGGATGAACATTTCGACGGTCCGGGGATATTAATGCAAGGTGACACTCAAATATACAATTTTTGAAAATTTCCCGCCTTCACTCGCAATTCGTCAATTTTCGAAAATATGCACCAGCAATTTCCCCCATTTTTTAAATTTTATATAATATATATTTTATATTATATTATTCCATTTGAATACTACAAATGATTATTACCGCCTTTTTAAATAAATTAATGATGAATAGATGAATGATAATTAATTGGCAAAACGTTGGGAATGTTTTTTGCCATTTTTTTTTTGCACAAAAAAGGATTTATTGATTATTACTCATTAGCTTTGATGGGTTTTTTAAAATTGTAATAATGAAGCTGATGGCAATCGCTACGAGGGGAACTTCTCGAGAGGTAAAAAGGAGGGGTTCGGCAAATTCTATCACCTGAGACGAGGGCTCCTCCAAGAGGGCTTCTGGACCAACGACATCTGCAAGAAAAGTACTATCAAAGATATTTCAAGAGATGCAGCACCTGAGCCCACGATCTATCCAATTCCAGAGCTGGTAATAAAAATTAAAATATAAATCCAAGTGTAAAAAAAAATTCAGCAATTCTTTATCTTCAAGTCTATCGATTTATCAATTATCCAGTAAATTAATTCGATATTGATTTCGTTGGTGGTTAATTGATTTGACGATCAGACAATAATCGAG